ACTAAATTATGATGGTAGTTCTATGGGTAACCTAGGGGTAGCTAGTGTGGGAGGGGTTGGAAGAGATCAGAATAGGGATGTTATTGTGTTATGTCGGTCCATGTGGGCTCGCTACAACAGACCACATAGAACTTGCCTCATTGCTGCAGGGCTTAAAAGCTAAGGAAAGATTTTCGGGCTACTAGTGTATGGTGGAGGGTGATTATTGGAATGTCATCAAGTGGTGTAATAGAGAACAACAGGTGCCATGCTGAGATCTCTTTTGTTGGAATTGATGGACTTGGCTGGTTCTCTGATTGTCCACTTCATTCATATTTATAGAGAAGCAAATGAGCTTGTTGATTTTTTGTCAAAAAATAATGTTTTTTTTTCGAAGATTAGAATTTTTTATATTTTGTAAATGAAATGTTGTAATCCGCCCGAGGAATAAAAAGTTTATGAATATTTATATATAAAAAAAAACCTTCTAGCCATGCTTAGTGGTCCATCCAAACACGCTTTAAGATTATAAGGACGTGGCTCCACTGAAATGGTTTTCTAGTAAGAGGGCATATATATTCATGTCAGTTAGCTAAGGTCCTATTTGGACGTTTATGTAACTATATCATAGCATTATATTCAAACTTACCTTTTAGGGATGGTATGAAAATAAGCATACTTAAACGGTCATAACGACTCTTAAATATCTACGATTTTGTCGATGGTGGCAAAAGAGTTTTCCAAAAAGACCCCTCTATGAGAAATGTTTTATTAATATGTAAGGTTACATTCAAAATTGCGCTCGTACAAAGTAACATAATATAAAATTAATATTTTAAAATTTATCGAATTAAGTTAAGAATCATTATCATCATCATCTGAGTCTTATCACAACTATTTTGGGTTGACTACATAAATCTTGTTATGCCATTATGCTCTATCAAATGTAATATCCTCAGTAAGACCTTATGTCACCATTTATTTTCACACTACTTCTATGCATGTCCATTTGAGCCTTTCTTTATGTCCTTTTAGAGCTTTCCTCTTAAACCAAATCACGTCTTCGAAGCGGTGTTGTATCAGTTCTACGTTGTATATAGCTAGCTCACCGAAGTCTACTTTCCCTTATCTTATTACCTATTGAGGCCACTCTTAGATTCTCTCGAATGTATTCATTCAAGATTTTATCGATTATTGTCATCATCTCAGTTGTACCCGTCTTATGGATATGTTGTTTCTTGACTGCCCAACATTTTGTCCCATAAAACATAGTTAAGATCAGTTTATATTAAGATTAATAATTCAAAAAATTAAAATCAAAGTAAATTTAATAAATAATAGTAATTTTTAATGAATAATATTAATTTTATATAGTACATTCAAAAATATAGAAAGTAATGTTACATCCAAAAAAGAAATTAATATTATACTCACAAATGCAAAAATAACCAAAGAAATTGACATAGCCTCTTTTTCTTCCTACATCCTGGTATAAAATTAACATCTTAGCAAATAATATAATGAATAAATTTTACACAAGGGTAAAGTTTGTAGAAGGTGTCCTCCCTACACTATAGAAGTAAGGTGCACCTCTAAATTTTGTATGAAGATGTAGTTTCGGTATTGGCAACTTTATGATGACTTGAAAATCTATTTCTGTCATCATTATGAAATTTAAAAATTTAAAAATGATACAGATGAAGCTGATTTATAAATACGTTAAAATCTTGAAAATAGATAGTCTAAATAATTTGTAACAAGATGTACTATTTTTAAGACTTTAATTTTTTTTTCTTCATACCCGTGACGTCGAATTGATCAAACTGGAGGGTTTTTCAACACTGAAACACTCTCTTCTAAAAGAATTTTAATGTCCATCTTACTTCAACAATATAATATAATATTGACACCTTATATAGACTTCATTATATAAACTCTTATTGAAATGCATAACTTAAAATACCTTTTTTTTTTCTTTCTTGGGCCAACTTTAGAAAGGCTTAAAAAGTCATGCATGTTGAAATATTGTGTAGTGACAATCTTCAATTTTGCCCTTCCATATGTAAGCTTTTGCAATATTTTGCTATTTGTAAGTCCTATGTTGGTGCCACATAGGACTTAACAATAAGACACTCGCACATTTGATACATGTGTTTTATTTTTCATAGAAACAATACTTTTGAATTATTTTATTTTTTATTTCAACATAACAACCTTTTTTTCATTCTTTAGTGGATCGTTTTCTTGCCTCAGGTTTATAGATGTTAAAAGATGGAATCATATATGGTGTTATCCTTTGGTTACTTTAGTAATGAATTAATAAACATGTAAATATTTTATGTAGGAAAAACTGATCATGAACGGGTTCATAAATTTTGGGTGCCATTTTGTCTACAAAAGAGATCATTTATCTTCTGTACATGGAGGTAAGAATCATTCTTCTCATATGGGTGTTTTGATAATTTTCCCAAATTTTAGAAAGTAATTTTCGCAAAATAAGATAACCAAATTACAATTTAAAATTTCAAGAGTATTTTAATCATTTTTACTTTTTCAATATATGTTTTTATTCTTTTTAGAGGTGTGTGAGGGCTCAAGGAATAGATGCACCAAATTTTAGCTCATTCTTGTGCATACAAAAAAAAGGGAGAAAGTTTTTAGATACTCAGACATGTCATCAACTATCCAAAAAGATCAGATGATTGAGATCGATTGACAACTTTTTAGGTTGACTTATAATGAGGATTATTTTAGTCATTTTAAAGTTGTTTGGCCTTATCATTATCCATTTAAAATTTGTTTATGATATAATATCATCCGGCACCTCATTTAGACTCATCTATACAAAATATAAAAGGAAAATGTTTATATAAGATTGCAACTTTAAAATGTAGAATTAAAGGTGCACCTCAAAAATCCATAGGAAAATGTTGTTTTAATGTTAAAAAAACCCTCTAATTGATATCTTGATATTGAGATGTATGAAAATGAAAAAAAAGAAGAAGATTTTGAGTCCCAAAAATAATATATATTGTAACACATTATCTAGAGATTCTAGACTGAGAAATAATGCATCTTGCAACACATTATCTAATTTAAATAATATAAAATAAAAAAAATGCCCCTAAAAGTTTCAACGTAATTTGGATATTTTATTTTTAACATATTTTTTGTATATTTGTACAACTGCATGCGGGTGAGATATATGGATGCATAAAATTTTAGCTCAATAAGATAAAAAATTAATATTGAAATACTCAAACATGATCTCAACTATATATATTCTATGGTGACCTATAATCACATTATTTTTCTATTTTTATGTGATCAGACCATCCAATTCATTACATCTACCATGGATGAACTATGACCTCAATGTATCATTTGTTTTACAGACATCGCCCTTCCAACAAATATAACTTCAATGAATGGTTAAATTTGACTAATTTTCATATCTCTAAGTTTCTAAAATTCCATATTCAATTTAGGTCCGCAAACTTCTTAGAACTTCCAACACATCCTCAAATACAATATTTACCGGTTCCAGACATCAAGATAATGAACTTTCAGAAGCCTAAAACTTCGAGCAGAAGAGCGGGTTACATTCCCAAATTTAAGGTCCTAAAATTACACATTGTGAAGAGGATGAAATATTTAAAATTTCTAAAACAAATGGTATTTTTTCTCAACAAACTTACTAAATTCCAATAGCATTTTTTTAATTCTAAAAAATATAGCATTGAAAACCACATTACAAGATGCACTTTCACAAGACTTGTTTGAAAACCACATTAAAGTAATAGACTCGGTAAAGTAAGGTTATTGCCTTCGGGTTTCTGTTTTTGTCTTTATTGAATTTGTGAAAAGAAGTTATTTTATTATAAAAATTTATAAATAATATTGTGCTTAAAACACAGTGATTTCCGATCCGTGTAACCGATCAGGATGCGTAATTGGTCGGGATCGAACCGGTTCCTAAATAGTATGGGTCTCGATCGGGTTTCCCCTAATACTCGCCTTTTCATTTTTGTTCTTTTTCCTTTAAGCTCGTCTAATATTTTGGGTGGTCCACCTTAAGCTTCCATCATATAAACCTTTATTTTATTTATTTATTTATTTATTTTAATTCTTTTTGGATCACCGAACCGAATTGCCAATCCAACTGATCTTGGCTGAGGTTAAGGGTGGAAGATCTGCGCTACCGATCCGTGTTTTTAAACGCCAGTATAAGTCGTCTTACAGATCTTATATATTTTGTTGAAGCACCACGTTTATTTTTTCTCATACATCGAATAGAGTCCTTTGTAAAAGTATCAAAAATTAGTTAGAAAATAAAATAACTAACTACTCCTAAAATTATGAAATTTATATAGGTGATCTCTAATACTTTTTTTCAAATTAATTATAATTTTATAATTTTTAACAAGAAAGTTGCACTAAGAAATATGAATACCCAAAAATTTGAATCGGATATATAAAAATAAAATAAAATAAATATAATACTCACTATAAAAGGTAGGACCTCAATGCAAAATAAATAACATATAAAATTACATTGTTGAAAAAGTTTATATAAGGTTGTAACTTTAAAATGTAGAATTACATATGCACTTCAAAAATCCATCGGAAAAGGTTGTTTTAATGTTGAAAAGTCTTCTAGTTGATCATTTCGAGATGAAGATGTATGAATATGAAAAAAAAAAAAAAAAATGTTTTTGAATCTAAAAAATAGTGCATCTTGCAACACATTATCTAGACCGTTCATTTTCAAGATTTTCGTACGTTTATAAATATACTTGATTTTAACTATAAGTTTAAAATTTTCCAATTAGATATGAAAATAGATTTTTGAATAATCATAATAATTTTTTACAATAAAATTAGATTAAATTTGCAGGTGCGCAATTGTTTAAGGTTGCAAACTTAAAGAAACCACACCCAATTATTTTTACTAATTTTGGAAATAAAAGAAGAAAGCTATGTCTTTTAGGGGTTGGGGTCTTTGGGATTGAGGTGTCTTGGGCGTATCTCTTTCTCTTACTCTCTCTCTCTAAACTTTTGTAGAGAGAGAGAGAGAGAGAGATCTCTGTAGTCCGGAGTGCGATACAAACCCTTATTTAGTGGCTGACTGGCTTCAGTACTGTGAATTGACCCGAAATGGTGGTATCGGGAGACCCATACCCCTTCTCTTTCTCACTCTACCCCAGAAAAGTTACAGAGAAAGCCGGAGAAGGGGGGGCCTGAACCCAAAACCCAGTGGATCTCTCTCTCTCTCTCTCTCCCCGAAATCGATCTGGGATCACACAAACCAGGTACACCTGTTCTAGTGATCTTCGTTCAATTCCTTTAAAATTTGATACACACAACAATCTCTCTCTCTCTCTCTCTGTCCTATTGATTTCGCCATTGCTGTCTCTCTCTGTAGCTCAAAATCAAATAATGCATGGTTTCGAATTTGATTGCCCAATGTGGGTTGCTCCCAAAATAGTTTTTTGCTATCGATTTGGTTGATGGGTCATTAGGTATAACCAATTTTCTCCTAGTTTTACATTTTTGGAGTACTTTCATGGCTTTCGCTTCTTCAGTCACCATCTCTACCACCTTTTCCTCTTAATTTTGCATTTATTGGTATCTGTTCACTCTTTATAGCTCTTATTTCATATTGATTTCGCCCCCCCCCACCCATCTCTCTCTCTATACCTCTCTCGTTGTGATTTATTGGATTTTGGTCCTCTCTTTCTAGATTGTTATTTGAACCATATTGAGCAGAGACTCTGTGATCAAACATGGCTAACAATCCTCCTCCTCCTCCTCATGTTGTTGCTTCACCTCCAATCACTCCACCACCAAGACCTGAAAAAAGACCCATCCCCCCGGCTTTCTCTTCTCCTTCTACAACAAGGTTTTCCCCTCAAAAACCAATGGACTCAAACCCAAAAGACCATCCCACCCAACCTGCTTTCTCTTCTCCTATAACCAGATTTTCACCTCAAAAACCACTCGATTTGAACCCAAAAGACCAACCAATCCCTCATTCTCTCCCTTCTTCTGCTACCAGGTTTTCACCCCAAAACCCCATTGATTCAGACTTAAAAGACCAACCTTCATCCTCAATGAGAAGCCCCTATGATAATCACAAAAATCCTCAAGACCCAAGCTTTTTGACCCCTCCTCGCTCTTCCAGTGAAACTGTTCCCATGACGTATAGAACCAGTGGTAAGACTGACAGCCCCATTTCTCAATTTAACAGCCCACCTGCTCCCCCAGTTTTCTCTTCCCCACTTCGCCCAGCTGCTGCCCCTTTTAGTCCTTCTCCGGCTTTACCCCAGCCGAGGGCACTTTTGTCGAGTTTTAATTTTGCCGGCTCTGGTGGCCCCTCTTTGCCAACATCTTCGTTGCCCATTCATTCAAATGGGGGAACAACTGAGTTGCAGACTGATGCTTTGGTGAATTCGAATGACTCTGTGTTATCTGGGGCATCACCTCACGTGCTCTTCTCAGCACATAAGGTATTGACCTTGTTTTTTAACCTTTTTTTGGGTGGTGATTGGGGTTAGTATATGATTCTCTGCAATTATTGGGTTATTGTAGATAATTTGGTACTTGTTGTTCACCGTAAATTAGGTTTTTGTTGTTTCGATGGATAATATAATGAGGGACTTGGGGTCATCAAAAAATGTTTGGTAGTATGGGTTTCTATTTGTTGTGCAAATGGCTTTCAGTTACTTGGGGTGTTTTCTGATCATTCTTCTTAGTAGCATGTGTTTCATTAGTTATCTTGTAAATATTGTTGTCTTATTGTTAATTTTGTGCTTATTGAGCTTAAGAAAACAATTTATGTGATGGGGTAACTTGGGGGTAGATGGGTATGATATCAACAAAGTTTAACTGGAGCTGGATATTGTTAAACATTAGGTAGGGAGTGTCTTTGGAAGAGGGTACTAGTCAAGGGCAAGAAGTAGCTTCCATGCTTATAGTGGTTGACCAAGGAAGGAAAAGTTGAAGAATTATATACTTCTTCTTTTAATTTGTTTGTTGTCTTTACGGGAACTATATTGAATAGACCAGGACTGTATTGAAGAGACCATGGTGGCAAGTGTAACTCTTCAGAATTCTTTAAGAAGCATCCAAAATTCTAGGTGTCAAAAGACCCACAGGTGGGTATTGAGTTTTTGTGACCTTACATCCAGATGATGAGAATGGAGTGAATCATTCATTTAGAAGGTTTACTCCCCTGACCTTGTGTAGTCTTTACAAACCCCATTGGCATAATTGATACACAGTACATATGACGACCTTGTACTAAGTTGGATCAATTCCTCTTTCTCCCCTTGTGTTGTAACTCAAGCTTTGGATCTTTCTCGTTTCTTCTGTAGCAGTGCATGTCAAGCTTATCCCTCCAATGGCGGATGTTTTAGAGTCTCCTAAATTAAAGGGTCTTGTGGGTTTTGATTTCACCACCCTCTTGCAGCACAGCATGTATTGGAAGAGGGCAAGCTGTATGTTGAGAAGCTTCTTCTCGTGCTTGGTGGCCTCTCGTCACGTATTCATATAGGTGCATTTGTATATTCTAACTTTGAAATTGTGCAGTTTCCCATTTGTGCTCAATTCTTGGGATCATCAAATTCTTGTAGGCCAGCTAATTTGCTTCAGATTTATGAGTTCTGCTTCTCATTTATTTCCTTCACACTCGCTATAATGGTGGTAATGTAAGAAGAGAACCTGCCTGGGTGCTTTATAAGGTCCAGGGTAGTTGATTTTGTTTTTTTCTTTTGATTTCCTTCCTGTCATGGTTAGTATTAGGTGATGAAAGATATGGGTGTAATGGGTTTGGTCCTTCAAAGTTTTCTATATGAAATAAACTAGTGAATCAAGAACTGTTACCCTGTTTGTGCTTAGAATAAGCCTTGGAGTGCTTGTAATGATTATTAAAGAAGGAAGTTTATTCTCCTTTATACTGCAAACTACATAATGGCTTCATCAAATTCTTATAGGCCAGCTAATTTGCTTCAGATTTATAAATGCTGCTTCTCATTTATTCCTTCATGCTCAATATAATGGTTTTACTGTATGAAGAGAGCCTGCACGGGTGTTTTATAAGGTCCAGGGTAGTTGATTTTGCTTTCTTCTATTGATTTCCCTCCTGTCGTGGTAATATTCGGTGATGAAAGATATGGCGTGTAATGGATTTGGTCCTTTAAACTTTCTATATGAAAGAAACTAGTGAATCAAGAACTGTTACCCTGTTTGTGCTTAGAATAAGCCTTGGAGTCCTTGTAATGATTGTTAAAGAGGGAAGTTTATTCTCCCTTTTACTGCAAACTACAGAATGGCTTCTTTGGCTCTTTAGCGATGTGCCTGGTTTGCTAGGCTAGCATTGTTCTCTAGCATTATTAATTTATGTCTTATGATGCATGAGTACTTGTATATGCTTAATATACCAGTCGTATTATGTTGACCAATACTGATAGTGCATACTCCTGGGATACTTTGTAAATATAAAATGATTTTACTATCAAAATATGTAACATGAATAAAATGTCCGTAATGTTTCTGGTAAGTCTACCCCCTCATTCATGCTTCTAGTTTTCAAGGATTTTACCATTTTACGACGTGTAACACATCCCAAATCACTGCAAAATCTATTTCCGCCTCAAGTCCATGATTTTGGAGCTCCAAAAGTAGTGTATATCTGATGATCTTAGAATATATGCCTTGAAAGGTCCTAAAAGAGGGTCCAAGGTGGACCATTTTAATCTAAAAAATTGTATTTTATTCAAATTCATGATTGTAGTGGTTGAGATGATAGGCTTGTGGAGTTTCAGATCCTTAATCAATCTCCAAGATGGATTTTGGAAGTGCATACAGACCAGAATAGGTGTGTTTTCTGAAGCACACAACCCCTATCCTAAAGTATACTAGTATAAATTATGGCATGATGCCTATAATGTAATAAAATTCGGATGGATATATTCCTGCATTATACAGACCTTAATATCTATGGATATGTCCAAAAGGATATTTGTCTCAGATTTGAGAAATTCAGACTTGTATCCATGCTTCCTGTATCTGTTTCCTTGCCTGTAGCGTAACCAGGAATCTTCTTTTTTGTTGCATTATGGCTGATTGTATCTTCTTCATTGGGTCGCCTACCACTGTTGTCGCAAGTTAACTTTATGTTGATGACATGGCTCTTAGAGTTGCTAATGAATCATCTTTTACCATGTATGATTCAGCATCTCTAGGAATAATCTCTTGGTTTTCAGATATCTCAAACTTCATTTAGCATGTTATTATTGAGCATGAGTATGAAGTATATAATGTGTTATGGAATGGGTTTATTATCGTTTACTTGGGAATTTCCATTGAAGAAAATCCATCAGTAATATGATTTTATTGAAGACTAGTTTACAGAGAAATGCCTTCCCTAAGATTATGATTTTATTGAAGACGAGTTTACAGAGAAATGCCTTCCTAAGATCATCATTCTCTTCTTGTTTCCTTATGTTCGATTCCACAATCATCAGCTTAGCTACTATTTATGTTTCATAGTGACCACCATAATATGATTTGTCATCTCACTCAGTGATACAAAATTAGCCCGCTTTGGCGTCTAGGCTGGCAAGACCCTAGGTATATCATCTAGGGACTAGGCAGGCACCCTTGATGCCCCTACCAAGGGCAGAAAAATGGTACTCAGTTGGGGCATTTTTCGTCAGTCAAGCCCCGCCACGTGCCCCCTCCCCCGCCCCCCTCCTTTTCTCTCTTCCCCAGGTTATGGGGGGCATTTAAAGTGAGAAAAAGAAGATTAAAAACAAGAAATGTTCCATTTTTTGAAATTTGAAAAACATTCAAATTTTTATTTCAAGTGAAATAGAAAAGAACTCAATCCAATAGTTTATGTGACTTGAAGAGGTGGTAAAAATGGGATTTTGGCAACCGAAGCAAGGCACCATTGATTATCTGAAGCTAGTGTAGTTCAATTTCTGGTTTAGGGCTTGGTGCTACTACACGACCTTATTTTCTTTGAGTGTAATCAGAAGCTGAAGGAGTGGTAGCAGGAGCACAATGAAATTGACCCTACTGCTGTGAGACATATGGATGAAACCAGCAAGTGGTTGGTCGATGATGAATCATTCACATGAGAGGAGCATGACATGGAGCCAAGTTCTTGAGGCAGCTGGAACCGCATCGAGCCCTATGCAGGGCTCTATATCTAGTCTAGAAGGAGAGTAAGAGAGGTGTACGAGGAGCAGGTGGACTCAGAGGAGACCAAGGAAGAAGTATGTGGAGGGGGATGACTTTGATGACGATGGAGAATCAGAATTAGATGCATTTGGTGGTGGTCCTCGAGAAGGAGATGCTATTGCCAGTGGCGGTGGTGATGATGATGAAACTCAATTTGAAATTCGAGTTCATGAGTGTTATTAACTATTATTTTGAGTTCTGTTGTGTTAGGTCTTCGAGTTTTTATTTTTGTGGCTTTCTGTTATGGTATATGGTGGTTGAGGTGGATTGTGAAGAATGGATCTACTATGGCGTTTTGGATGTAATTGTTTTTGTGACTTTCTGCTGTGGGCATAATGCATTCCATACAGTTTTGTATGAATTTTGGGCAACTTTCTATTTTTTAAAATTTTATAGTAATTCAATATCAAGTTTCAAAACCCTGTATGTATGAATTTGAAATATTACAACACAATAGCATGCAAAAAACCATAATTTTTTTTTTTTAAAAAATAAATATTTTATAAGTTCTATTAGGGGGGTTTTGTATCCAGCCCAACCCCCAAATATCATTGTCAAAGGCCTGGAAACATCCCTACCCCCCCTTCCTCCCTCCCTCCTCCCCCTCCCTCCTCCTCCTCCTCCTCTCTCTCTCTCTCTCTCTCTTCTCTACTTACTCTACTACTACTATACTACTACTACTACGACGTACTAACGTACTAACTACTACGTACTAGCTACGTACTATACTACGTACTATACGTAGT